ACACTGTTAAAAACAAAAATTGGAACACGTTTATATCTAAAACTATAATTGAGCAAACGTCTTGTTTGCATGACCTAAAGTAACTTAAAAATATATAAAAAGGAAGTGAATTAAAATAAATGATGAAGAAAATAAATTATTATACATAACTGTAATCTAAATGGTAATAAAACATTTTACTGGCAACCATAAATATTATCTTGTCCCAATGACTTTTACAAAAATTGTTTTTAAATATATTTGGCATATTATTAGAATATTATACTAAATTAAAATGAATAGATAAATAAAAGAAATGGAAGAAATATGTGGCAGGCATAGTGCCAAGCCTAAAGGCTAACCTTTCAAAAAACGTACCTTTCCCACCAAACGCTTGGTCTAGACTGTCTTTGTTAAAAATTTCCTTGTAGACGGGAAAAGCGGTTCTCTTGAAACCCTTAGTGTCTCGCCGACTTGTCAATCAAACTTGCGGGGGAGGAAGTCTAGAATTTGACATTGATTGATATCTTTATTTGCTTTCCCATGGTTTCTCAGATTCTTTGCATTTTTTCCCGCTAAAAAAATTTCCTTGTAATTTTCTATCTACCAGCTAGTATAACGGAATTTTTAAGATTGTTAACTAGTAAACACAAAAAAATTATACTCTAAACTAGTGTATCTTGCTAAAAAAATTACTGGTGTTGACAATATATGATTTAAAAGATAGATTACAAAATGATGCAGTGTTTTAAGTTATAACCCAACTTCTATAACGTTCAAAATTTTTATACTGGACACATGGTGACCTCGACACATATTTGTTTAGAATTGGCAAAATTGGTTCACTTGCATGCATTTGTGGAAACTAACAACAAACCCCTGAACACCTTCTGATAAAATGTCCATTAACTTCTGATCCAAGGGAAGAAAACCAACTTTACCTGACCGATACAAATAAGCTGCTTGCAATAAAGACCAATACATCAAGTTTAATAGATTCTGCAGGATGTACATTTAGAGGCGAAAGTGCTGACTGTACATATTTTTAAGCCACTACTTATAATTGCTATATGTAAAATTTGACGTCGAACGCCTAATCCCAATGATTTCCAATGTTCAATTGTATTAATTTTAAAAAATATAATATGATGTTACACAATAGGCTAAAAAACGACGTTCTATTTTTATGCGAAAATCTTTTTACACATAGTATAAAGTTTTAAATATAAAATTGGCACTACTGTAAATTTTAAAACTAAAATGTAAGTGGACAACTGCGGCCTTCTAGCATATTATTTGGCTTAATTAAAAAAATATGGCTCGTTTATCTAATATTTAAAAAAAAAAAGGCACCACCACAAATGTATCAAATCTTACCTTAAAAAGAAAAATGGCGGGATCCGTTCTCCACGTGGTTGGCCGCCTCGTGGACTTTCCCATTCTTTACTGGATTTTCCGTAGCCTCCAACTTGCACACATTTATCTATTAGTTTTATGCTTTAGACAGGATTTTACATGTTACATGTTTCAAGCAGCAGGGCGCTATTTTACCGTGAACCTTTCGTGGCCATAATGGAACTGATCGGCCCCACGTTGGGCGCCATTGATGAGACGAATATCTGACGCTATTGTCTGATATCCGTGAGCCTCTTTCTTTCTCAGGGAGTTCACAAAAATAACACATCCTGCTATAAAAAGATATATAGTTTGCGTGTATCCTGCACGCACTGGGGTTAAAAAAAGGAAGGACATAAACTCTGGTTAAATTTACATTATATATTTATTTATCTCTTTTGACCAAAAGAAAAACACAAAGATAAGAAAAAAAAATAAATATGCAATGACGATTGAGTGGGAAAGTTTACATATGTATACCTGTTTAAACAAAAAAAAATCATTATAAAAAGAAAATACTTAACTTTAGTGCTTCAGCTGGAAGGCTGGTAACCCCTTTCCAAGAATTCTTTTAGGACTACATTTTTACGAGCTTCCCTACTCTCTTATCTTTTTCTAACCAGCACCGCCCCCCACTAAAACTTCCTCGTGACTCTCTTATCTACCACTGACCAGCTCCCCCCAAACACTTGCTTGCCACTAACTTTTTCCTCCCAGGGTGACCAAACAAAAATTAAAAAATTAAAATAAATCTTTATCTGTGATAAGAAAGACATTTAAAAAAATAAAATTATAATAAAAAATTATCTTTCGAAATATTAATTAAAAAAAAAGAAAACCCAAAATAGCTGCTTATTAAAAAAAATGGAAATTTATTATTGTACTATGAGTTATGTACAAAAAACTAGAAATAAAAAGGAGGTGAAGAGATGGGCTGGTTTTTTTACAGAGAAGAATTCTCGAAGTCCGCTTCATTGTCCACTGGCTTTTCCTTGATTCTGTGGGTGACTTTGTGGAGGCCCCAGAAGTGGCCTTTACATGTATATATGTTCAAATGTCACAATTCAATTTTGTACATAAACTCCTGCTCTATTTCCTTAATATTTTATACTGCAGGGCTATAGGGTTCATTAAGAATTAAATAGGATAATTCCTTATTCCTATATTACTATTGGATTGTGTAAGGCAAAGGCTAATTATATTCATTTCAATAGACTTAAATTTATTATATTATTTTATCATTATTTTAAAATAATTTTATTATTTTAACACTGAATATTTAAAGCCAGAATTTTAAAAAGGGCATTTTATTTATTTCTCTAACTATGAATTTGATTTAATTTCATTTACCCAAAAGATAAAATTAAATTGTTAATATTTTATCTAAAGAGATAATAAATTACCTTTCTTTTTAGGAGAATAAATTCGATATTTAATTAATTAATTATTCTACGAAAGAGAATTACTCTGTGGAAGAGTAAGATAAATTTTGACCAGGGGGAAAAAAGTTTTCCTGCGATTAGTGCGGTAGAAGATGGGCAGTCTTGGCTAGATAGTCGATCAGTGAACAGGTTTTTAGTACCCACCCGGAGGCTCGACTTTTGGAATGTAAGTTTTTTTCTTTTCTTCCTTTTTTTAGGGGTAAACATGTCTATATAATAATTTCATGAGGGTGCAACAGCCCACGATTATAGGTTGAATCATTATTACAAATTTATCTCTATTACGTCTCTTAAAACCTTTAAGAACTCTGATTGAATAATCAGGATTTTGCTATCTATATATATGTTTCCTTTGTTTTATAGGTGGATTAAAATTTCCTACTTTCAGTATAAGTTTACTTTTTTTTTATTACGAGTATTATGGATAGGGCAATTTATTAATATACATTAATACAAGCTCAATGTTTGGATTTCGCCCTTTAATGTCTATATAGCCTGCATTTTGTATAGTATTTTATTAGAGTAATCCTTTTATAGACTATTATGCATTTACAATTTCCTCCACAAGGAGAAATTCTGTACTCTTGTTATAAGATAAATAAATACTTGCGTATGTGATTCTAGTTTCCATGTGTTAATCTACACCTTTATTTCTTTTAATTGAGTGGCACAATTTTTTTTAAACAGTAACATATGTCTAATCTAAACCACGTGTTTAAATTTTATATTTTAATTTTAGGTATTCAAATTTGAATAATATATAATTATGGGAACAGTTTGTGGATGGTGAGTTAGTTACATAAATATATGTCCTTGTAGAGTTACTTTAGGATAAATCATGTATAAGTAATAGAATTCTAGGTTGACCTTAAAATTAAACTACGCCATATAAGATGAATCTAGGACATGGACCTGAGTTTTCCTTTCTGGATTATATAATACGTACTACTATAACTCGTACTATGATCATTCATGAAGTAATCTTTAGAACTAACTCTAATTTTGGTTACACACTAGTACTAAATGCAATCTTAGTTATCCAACCACAATGTATTCAAAAAAATTTCGCATTGTAGCAACTATATATGTAATTATCAAATCACTCAATATAATGATATCTATTACAAAGTAAATTATACCATAATCACTATGAATAGGTAATTTCTGAGCTAGCATTTCTTGGGCTTAAAGGTATATTTCTTACATCTCTATTAAAAGTATATAGGGCACTTGGTTTTAAACAACGACAATAAAATAGCATTTACAGTAAGCTTTACATAAGTATTATACAATACCAGCCAATGACCCGGGCAACACCCCCGATTGAATGTTTTTATTCAAATACTATTTGTTACAATTATAAATTGGTGCCATGGATGTCACTCTTGTGAAATGTCCCGCTCCAAACTTTACATGTACATTAGGTCAGCTGGTATTACCCCTCATTTTCACTGCTAGAGGCGCGAGGGAATTGACTTTTTGAAAATATACATAATTATAAAGATAGAAGCTTCTATAGAAATAAATAAAATAAGCCAAAATAGCTCAGTTAGGAGAGCGTTAGACTGAATATCTAAAGGTCCCTGGTTCGATCCGGGTTTCGGCATCTTTTTTTAATTTTTAAATTTCTACTTACCTAATGTAACTTGACACGTAACTTAAAGTGACAGAATTGTGCATGACGCTGATAACTGTATTAAATATAATCCAAATTGTGCCTTATCACACACTATTTATTTATTTGGATTAGGTCTTATTACCTTGTGTTTATAATCTACTAGCCGAATGACCAGGACAACGCCCGTACCCGATTGAATGTTTTTATTCAAATACTATTTGTTACAATTATAAATTGGAGCCGTGGATGTCACTCTTGTGAAACGTCCCGCTCCAAACTTTACATGTACATTAGGTCAGCTGGTATTACCCCTCATTTTCACCGCTAGAGGCGCGAGCGAAAGAGCAAATTTGCAAATAACACGATGGATATTCGGGATAGAGACCTGAAATTTTCACTAAGAGTTTTTCCAGATTCTACTTTATATACTGTTAAAATATCAGTCATATTAGTTACGTATTGTGGACGTGTATAGTTGACAAACATACATACATACATACGATGACTTTTATATATATAGGGATAATAATATAAATGAGTTTTAAAAATTGTAAAAAGAAAAAAAATGCATTGGCCGGGAATCGAACCCAGGCCGCCCGCGTGGCAGGCGAGCATTCTACCACTGAACCACCGATGCTTATAAGAAATGCCCATTTTTGGGTATTTATTCCATTCACAAAGGCAAACGATGACAGAATTGTTGATGACTCTGATACTTGTATTTATAATTATGTTAGCATAATGAATTAGTCAGTATTCCCATGGTCTCCAGCGAAGAGGTGTGAATTGACTTTTTGAAAATATACATAATTATAAAGATAGAAGCTTCTATAGAAATAAATAAAATAAGCCAGAATAGCTCAGTTAGGAGAGCGTTAGACTGAATATCTAAAGGTCCCTAGTTCGATCCCGGGTTTCGGCATCTTTTTTTAAATTTTAAATTTCTACTTACCTAACGTAACTTGACACGTAACTTAACGTGACAGAATTGTGCATGACGCTGATAACTGTATTAAATATAATCCAAATTGTGCCTTATCACACACTATTTATTTATTTGGATCAGGTCTTATTACCTTGTGTTTATAATATATAATCCAAATTGTGCCTTATCACACACTATTTTTTTATTTGACCTTATTACCTTGTGTTTATAATCTATGACGTAATGCCGGCGGCGCGCGCCCGTTGGCTGCCGGCGAGCACGTGACCTCCCTGTGCGCGCGCATCCGTGACAGAGGCGGCCGATGAGGAAAGACGGTCGTGACTATATATATTAATAGGGTTGTTGGTTTAAATTACCATATATACACATAAAACCTTTGAAGACTATTGCTGTTGGTTAAAATAAATGTAATGGAATTGAAAAAGGACTTACTGTAGGGGGAAAGCCACCGACCAATAGCCTGCGGTATGTCAGCACTCTCTTCCTGCAAAGATCTAACTGCCACTTTTTTAAAATTTGGCGCCATCTACTGGTTCAAACCATGCTGCGCCCCCTATGAACGAACTCTGAGAGCCTTTTAATTGAAAATAAAAAATGCTTAATATCATCAAGGTTTTATATATATTTATAAAAATGAATGTATGTGTGTGTGTGTGGTGTGTCTATCCTTTACGCCTGACCAAACCACTCATTGGAACGCCATGAAACTTTGGGAAGTTATTTAGTATAGTACTGGGAATGTTTTGAAAAATAATTTCTTGAATATCCTTAGAGTTATTTGAATATTTGTAGATTTAACTTGAAAGCAGCACCCCCATTGCGACGATGATAATAAGTTTTTTATCTATAAGTTTTATTATTACTAAGTTTATTATCTTAAAGATTATTTATCAAAAGTAAGATTTTCTACCTATTAATTGCGTACAAGTCAAAGTTAGTTTTATCATTTATCTACAACATATTGTAGCGCGTGATCCTTCTGGTTTCTTCCGCCGCGGAGTAGCTCCTCCCTGTAATGGTTAAAGAAGTTGAATACTCCAGAAGAGAGAGTTAACTTGGACGAGTTTTGCAAGCCTTGTAAAAGAGAGATGTTTATTTTTAAACAGCCAGTAGCACGCTCTCCTCTCGCCACGGGCTCTTCTTGTAACAATATATATTGGGAGAATAGATAAAATGATGATTTTGTAATGTAGAAAATTAGGAAAGACAAAATTCAGGATGACACGGCAATATATTTGAGACAAGAATAATGATATAATTTCAAGGCAAAGATACTATTCCTTTAACTTCCAATTAGCGAAGGAGCCAATTAATATTGATTTTATTCAACTTATCGAGTATTTTTCAAGGGACAGGGAAAAAATGTTCACTTTATCAAGAGATTCAAATTTACGAGTTTCAAATTATCAAAATATATCTATTATTTTTTTATAAGTTTATATAGAATTGTTTTAACAAATGTTCGTTAGACAAACCTTTACTCAGGTAAAACCGGTATTAAATATCAACAACAACAAAATGCCTTTATTTAGGGTCACTGACCCTATACAGGATTCACCAGAAGTATGCATAAGAACAAAGCAGTGAGACAAAGGAAACAACGATATAGACAGAAGAAAAAGAAAGAAAAAAATTAAACAAGAAAGAGAAAGAGGGAAGCAAGAAAAACAACACAAAAAGAGTAGCAATAAGAAAGTGAGGAGTGAGTGTCACTTGGCCTTCTTCTGAGATATGGACTTGTGGAAACCATAAAACGCCATAGCAATATTCTTATTCTGGGTCATATTATCAATTATTGATGGAAGTGAAGCACAGAGTTGCCCAGTTTTGAGCATAAGGGTTCTTCTTTCTTCTTTCAGAGCAATCAAAAATATAGTGAGTGATTTCATTTTTAGTTTTGAATTACAGAAGGTACAAATCCGGTCCTCACCGCAGAGCATCTTGGTGTGGTTTTCTCTAAAAAAACTTGAAAGTATTCTAACTTGTGAGAGTAGTCTTACAACCGGAAAGGGGATCCATTATTGTTAAGCAGATTGGTGAGCTTTTTAATGAAACGATGGGTGCGCCCGATGTTCAATTTTTTTAACTATAAATATTTCTTTAAAAAAATGTTTAAAACAATAGTTAGGAAAAAGGCTAGGCTAAAAGCTGGGAAGCTGCTTGTAGCAGAAAAATAGGTAAAATTTAACGCCATATATATATTAAACAGTGAGTAACTTTTTTGAGAAAATTTCAAATGCTTTATTTCTAATGCTTGATTAAAACGATATAAAAATATTTTAATAAAATCAATTTTAATTTTTAAAAAAAGTAGTTCTGTATAAAGAAGAAAATATTTATATAGTAATATCGTTAAAATATTTTTAAATCGAAAAATACCGTTTAAAATTTAAAATGTTATTATTAAAGTGTAAAATGTTGCCTTAAAATTGCACACACACACACACACACAAGACCTATATCAGATTAAATATTCCTTTATATTTATTCAGAACAAATTATTGACAATTTTCATTTTTAATTTTAAAGATATTTTTTTAAAATATCATTATCAAGATTATTTATAAAATAATATAAATTTTCGTTGAGTGTTTATCAAAATCTGTGAAAAAAAACGAAAAATGTCTTGAATTTTATTGTTGTTGTTTAGTACTGCTTCTTCGCAATTTCTATATTTTTTGCTTCAAGTGTGTTTATTTAAAATTAATGACAATTTTTTTTAAATCAACAACCGAACACTATTACAGGTACGTTATATTTGTGATTCTCAATTTTAAGATATTAAAAGCATGGCACAATTTGTTGAAATATTTACTGTTGAGTCTCTTTACAAGGTCCTATCGAGGACATCTCAACCTTATACTTTGTCTTTTAGCTCAGCAACAACATTGTTTAGTTATATACCAACTTGGGTTAAAACTCAGATACACATGTAGGAGGATATAACGAACACAAAAAGGTCCATGTTTAATACATAATGTGCATTTTGTTTCAGGGTAAAGTATCACAAACACATCTTTAAAATAATAAATCAAGGGTTTTATTGTTATCTCAATGGACCTTACAAATTTCATTTCATGGACAATTCTACATGGACAAAAAAATTTTGTTTATAGCAAATTATAGGATTTCAAGCAAGAATGATTTTTTACCTATTAAAACCATAGATATGCCTTTCTCGACATACAAAACGTGCCATAATTTACAAGCATACCAAAAAAAAAAAATTAGTGAAACATGAGCCTTTGTTCTACCTTGGTAGATTTTCTTACAAACTTTCGTTTGTAGGCAGTACTAAATGAACATAAAATCTATTTCCTTTATCAGACTCTAAGACTTCATACAAAAAACAAAATATATATTTTTTTCTACCTATTAAAATAAACTATAAATATGCCTCTTTGACATATTAAATATGCCCTAAATGAATAGAGAAGATGTTAACATACCATTTCTCCCCGGATGTCAGCGCTCCCTCAGGATCGACCTCTTCGTTCGCCTGCCCCTCCCCCCCCCCCACCCGTCAAAACTAACCGTTATCCCCTTTTCTTGAAAACAGCGTCCCCAAAAAAAATTGTCATCTTCTTACAGAGTGAGAAAAAAATTATTTTAATATTCTTAGAATATAAAAAAATAGTAAAATATTATTATTCCTTCCCTTTTTTTAAAGAATAAAATTGAAATAAGAAATATAAATGCTCATCCCTTGAGAAATTTGTATAGTAATTTCTTCTTCACGAAATTTAAAATAACGAGACATACTTTATTCATTTTAGAATAAAATAAATAATAAAGGTAAAATTATATTATCTTTCTTATCAAGAGATAATTTGGATTAGTAATAAAATTAATAAAATCTAACATGTTTGCCCCCTTGAGAATTTTATATAATAATTTCTTCTTTAAGAAATTTTAAAATAAGGAAATATGTCCAATCTATCTGGATATGCCAGTAATTGGCTTTATTCATTTTTAGAATAAAGAAAAATAAATTTAGGAAATTCTCGAAATGGTAATATAACCCTTTTGGACGTTTCATATTGCATAAAAAAATAAAAGGTGATTGGCATTAGTTAACATATGCACATATGTACATAGTTTGTATATCCTCCGCTGGACCTCTCTGCAATGGGCTTCGGGATCCTTGGGCAGGACCCGTGTCATCTCCAGCTGGGTGTCTTCCCCGGCTTCTGGTCTTTAAAGGCATAGGTGTCATCTCCAGCTGGGTGTCTTCCCCGGCTTCTGGTCTTTAAAGGCATAGGTGTCATCTCCAGCTGGGTGTCTTCCCCGGCTTCTGGTCTTTAAAGGCATAGGTGTCATCTCCAGCTGGGTGTCTTCCCCCGGCTTCTGGTCTTTAAAGGCATAGGTGTCATCTCCAGCTTGGTGTCTTCCCGGCTTCTGGTCTTTAAAGGCATAGGTGTCATCTCCAGCTGGGTGTTTTCCCCGGCTTCTGGTCTTTAAGGCATAGGTGTCATCTCCAGCTGGGTGTCTTCCCTGGCTTCTGGTCTTTAAAGGCATAGGTGTCATCTCCAGCTGGGTGTCTTCCCCGGCTTCTGGTCTTTAAAGGCATATGTGTCATCTCCACCTTTCTGGACAACAAACATTTTCGGCACTGTGTATATATATGATGTAAATGTTTACATCATTGTTGGGTCTATTTTGTGGAAAATCTGGCCCAACAATTCCTCCCC